GATTCAACTTCCCTAAATCTCTTCTTTCATCTTTTTGAAGTTAACCCCCTTCCAAGAGTCACAACTGTGGACTTGTTTCTCTTTGTCGGTTGAAAAACAAGATTTTTTGTGTTTATATTGACAATTGGAAATATTTTAAGAAGCATTATTTCTTAGTTTCTACCCTTACTCTTCTTGCTCATGATGAGTTTTGCGTCCCCCCTTCTTCTTCCTTTACTCTTTTAGCTTGTTCTGAATGGAGGAGACAATTTTGGTCTATAGATCACTTCTCCTAGAAAGCTAAAAATTATTCTATCTCGTATAAGGATTGTCTGATAAAAAAAAGGCTATGAAAGAAACCATTCTCTTTTTATACGAGTTAGAGATACATTGTCGAGATATTGCCGAAGCTAAATATGTGGATGAAAGGAAGAAACTTTTTGGTATAGCCCCTGTCGTAACTTTACTTGTAGTATGCAATCTTGTACATTCTTTGAATGACTTATTTGTCTTACTATTTTCTAGATGATCTTAAAAATAATGATTCCCTGACTTCCGATGTTGCGCTTGTGTTAAATGTTGAAGCTCCCTTGGTTGCATCAGAGTCTTCGGAGAGTTGGAGCAAGAAAAACCATGATCGACCTGCTAATAAGGGATGGGGAAAAGTGGTCATCTGGGGAAGTCATGCAAAGAATAAAAGTTCAAAATAACTTGGTTATACTTTACGTATTTATTTGGGAGATAATCTACTCCCTTCACCCTCTGTGATGGTTGTCCGTTTGCCTCAGACCGCAGTAGAGATGAAAAGGTGTGTGTCGGTTGACGACTATAAGCAGATTAATTAGCCTTCTTCTATTGGGGAATTCAACTTGTTGGCAGAATTATCTTACCACATCCTCTAGGATGTTCCTCTTCCTTATCAACTTGCTACTAGTCATACAAAGCTTATGTTCTCTGGTTCCTCCTCTAAAGAGATCGAGGACTCGAAGGCTCGCTATGACTTGTCAGAGGCAAAAATGGTTAGCTTTGATATGGAATGTTTTGTTTTATACAATTGCTTGAATGCAGATCCTTCTTTCTTGGATGATGTGAAATAATCTGAATCCCCTGCCACCTTGACTGGTCTCATAATTGAACTTGAGAAGTTGTTCGAAGAAAAGGACCAAGATGCTCGACATAAGGAACTTGAGTCAAAGGCTCTATCTCTCATTATCTAGAACCTCGTATTGGAGCATAAGAAGAAGAAGACCAACCAAACTAAAGACCTAGGGGCCCTTTGTTAAGAATAGGTCACCCTGAATGACCAGTTGCTAGGTTTTTTTGAAGATGACCTGACAGATGCTGTCTTTCACAATGTTTTGGGCCAACTAGAGTCCCCAGTTCCTGGCCTTCAGGCGTTCCACAGTTACTTCTCTTTAGAATGAACATAATCCTTGTGTAACATGTAATTTTAATGTATCAGATGATATTTGCCACACCACATATTTTATTGTAGTTAGCTTTGATGTGCTAGCATATTATATCTAATGTTTTCGGGGTGATGTATTTAGCATTATCATTCTTTAGATGTAAGGTCTGGAATCATCACAGTGTAGTCATATCATTTGAATAGTGTTCCGAGCCACATATGACCATTCTCATTCAAGGGTAGGATTACCATCCCTACCTCTAAATTTGGCTCGGATTGAGGTGGACGTCTTAGAGCTCCACTGCCCACGCCCTTGAATTGGCTAGATCCAAAAAGGGGGGGGGGGGGGGGGGTGAGGCAACTACGCATAAATGTGTGTAGTAATCCTCAAATGAGAAATCATGTGAGGGATGAGTTTAACCCATATTATAATCAAATAAATGTATTGAGTCTATATCGGTTACACAATCATGTAAGGGATGTGTTTAATCCGTATCAGAATCGCATAAATGCGTTTAGTCTATATCGAATACGCAATCATGTAATGGATGCATTTAATCCGTATCATAATTACAAAAATTCCTTTAGTATGTATCAGATAAGCAACTGTGTAAGGGATGCGTTTAAGCCATATCAAAAATGCAGAAATTTATTTAGTCTGTATCAGATACGCAGAGATGTATGTAATTTCCATCCAAGGGCGTTTTTCCAACCTTGTTGGCTAAATAGAGATGTATATTGATTAAAGGTGCTTCAAGTCATCTCTGTGATATTCTTGTAGCTTGATATGTCACTTTAGTTTTTACTTTTCTTTGGAGGGGGGATCTCGGGCTTCCACTTAGTTTCTTCTTGGTGAAAATGTGTGTATCTTCCTGTGTCCAAAGAGGATGACACCTCTGATTGGTTTTCTTATAGTATATTAAAGAAAGTGGCTTTGAGTCTCTAAAATTCTTTTTGGAAGGATCCATGGGTTGGATTCGTTCCTCTTAAGAATAAGTTCCCTAGTCTATTTATCATTTCAAATCATATTTATGGATTAGTGGGAGAGCTTGGTCGGTGGGAAAATGAGAACCTAGTATGGAATCTAAGGTGAATGAGACCCTCATTTCTTCGTGAATTATCAACTGTTGACAATCTTCTCTCTATTCTCCAAGGTCTTACTCTCTTAGGTTAGATATAAATGGAGTCAAATTCATACAAGAGACAACATTTTCTTGACCGTCTCTTATTACCATGCTATGTTGGACATTAACAACTCTCATCTTCCTCTCATTTGAGTGATAATATGATTTCTCCCCAAATTTGAAACAGGTAGGATCCTATGTTTCAGTCTAGAGAAAATATGTTTGAAGGGATGGGGGTTATTGTTAATCATAATGAGATCTCTTGTTCCTTGTGTGGGGGTCGGTTGAGTCGGCGTCTCATCTTTTTGTCACCTATGAAATTTCTGACTGTGTTTGTATAGTATAGGATATTTCGGTGGTTGGGTTGACAATGGTTCTTCTTGTTAGTCTTAGGTTTCATTTTCACTATTTCCTCTCTTTAGGTAATAATGCTTAGGTTAAGGTTGGTTTTGCTATGATTTGATATGTTGTTATTTGGTCTATTTGGTTGGTTCATAATAAAGATATTTTTAACGGTACTTCAACAACTATGAAAGAAGTGGAAGAAAGAAATATGTTTTATTATGTAAATGATTTTTAGATGGATCAGAGGTGAACACACGCACGTTATCTGATTGACTTTAAAATCTTATCATGTGCGTTAATCTATAGCGGAACAAGTGTCTTGTCTTGATATTGGGTTTGACTTTGGTATATGATTTTTAGTGTTCTCTTAATAGATTCTAATCTATCGATGATAGTTATGTTAGTCTAAGATCTAATATGATTCTTTCGGAGTGAGATTTTTGGAGTGAGATTGTTAACTACTTGAACTTTTACCTACGATGTTCTTCCAAGCCTTCTTGTTGGTTTATTTAGTGTCTTTTTATTTCTTTTTTATATATTTGTTTTATTTGGCGAAAAGGTCGACATATCTTGTGTGTTTTTGATAACCTTTCTTGTGTACTATGATGGTTCGACATTTTTTTTTATTACATATATAATTTTGTCATTCCAAATAAAAAATTGTCATTAGTCACAATTTTTCAGTGTAAACATTTTAATCATCGCCATTATCTTGTGATTAATCATATTTAAACCCATAGTTAGTTGTATTAAATATATGGTTAATTAGATAACACTTTTTTTATACTCACTAACTATCATCTTTACTGTGTTAATCAAATATTTGAATTGTGTTAAGTATAGAATTTATTGTTGAATTTAATATGAAAATTGAGACCAAATATAATTTCTCTGGTAAAAAGGAGACCTCTAAATAAATACCTTCCTTTAGCATAACATTCTAATTTTATGACTTCGCCTCTATTTTTGATACTTGACAAAATCTACACATAAGACTTTCTCATAGCTTTGCCTCTGTTTTTCTTTTCAGTGGTTTAGAACCGTAAAAAGAGAGAATTTTTATTTTATAGAAATCATAAAGTCTAACCACAAAGTTGAATGTAACACATTGAAGTAGTATTAATCATTTTACTTGGTAAACTTTTTTTATGGCCAACCATTTAATCTATGCGTGTAAGGTAATAATTAAATCAACAAACTATGTCAAAGATAAAGATAACTACAACAAGTTTTCTCATACCTTTTCAGATGATTTAACTTTGTCACCTAGATTATTGAGGTTGTCTCTTGAACCATTGATACTATAAGCATTTCATCATCACTAAAGTAATTAACTTTATTTAGTCAAGAAAAAACTAATTAACTTTACTTGGCAAGTAAATAATTCCATGATTCAATTTGACAGTCTTAAAATAATGTATTTAACACTAATTGCATTATAATTTTCTATTCGGTACAGCTGTTGAAATTGTGGTCCAAAATGTACTGCCACATCCACTTGTTTTCATTAACTGTTTACTTACATAGGCAGCTCAGAATTTTACTTTCCGTCATATTATACCAAATCACTTTGCAACTTGCATTTAAACAAAGTTCATGTTCACATTTGAATGGACCTTATCAATTTTGATCATTCATGCTAGTGCATGCAATTATTATTTTCATGCACAATAAAAACTATAAACCTATTTTATAATACATCAAATATCATTTATTAGAGGCATTTCATGTCTTAAAAAAAACATTGGGGAACAAAAATTCTGAATACTTTAGCAATCTAATTTAGTACATCATTTATTGTATTACAATCAAACTCTAATACAAAATCCTAACTTCTATTCAGAGAGTTAAAACTAAAAATGTTAAAGAGACTTGTTGTTTCCACATTATACATAAAAAAAGAAGAAAAAAATCAACGTTTCACTTCTATTCCCTTTTTTACATAGATTACATTTCATTGTCCCAAAACTCTTTCCACTTTATTTTTCTTGTAACATTCAAATTGAAGTTGCATGTGCCATCTTTTTTGCTAAAGAATCTTGTCGTCGATATTGAACAACCATTCTGAATCCAACTCATGTAAACTATTAATTATAAAAAAAAAAAATCATTGAAGTTACTAAGTTTATGAGCTTAAAAAAAATTCAGAATTCGGGCAATTCGATTTGATCTCCGGTCCTAATAAATATGTCATACCAAAAATCCATGCCATCGTCTAAGTTAGAATTATAATCAACATTACTCTCTTGTGGAAAAATTTCAGCACCACAGTTAGAAGGGTATTGAAGTGGCATTATCTCATTAGAGATTGTTGATGGCATATCAGTTGAAGTTTCATCCAATGCTGCTGCTTCTGACCAAAAACTCTCGTCGATTTCTGGCATTGGTTCTTCCATAGACTCAATGTCTTCACTTTTTATTACATCTTTTCTTTTACCAACGGATGAAAAATCATCACTAGAACTAGTAGTGCATGCAGATACTGATTCTGATTCAGTTACTGTGCTTGAATTTGAATCAGAGCGTTTGATTTTTTGTTTTGAGATCACCCTTTTGTTAGATAACTCTGAGCTTGTTTTGTTTAGCTTCTTCTTCAAATGTGTGTGCCACACATTTTTTATTTCGTTGTCTGTTCTTCCCGGTAATTTTGCCGCAATCGCTGACCATCTAAAAAAAATTAATTCATTAATATATTTAAGAAAATTAATTATATATAATGCCATGAGATTCTCGTTGAGTTTTTTAATTAAAATGATTCAGAAAACAACAAAAATATTACACTGTCTTAATATATCACACTGACATAGTGAATCTCATGAATATATAGATGCATGTGACATTAACTGTCACTATAAAGAACAGCACAGATCTCATCGAGATTCTTGAAGTTATAAATCACACATTTTTATATCTTCCACTAGTGACTAATTAATGATACTGTTTTCTATTATTTCATGTCAATAAATTTTGAGAACCTATAATATGGACCTCTCTATACAACCGTGATTAAAATTTCATAAAATATTATTGCGGTATAATTAAACTAGGATTGATCTATCCTTGATTTCGAAAAATTTGAGATGATTCAGATGTCACATTGATGCATGTTTTGGAAAGATCAATTTTCCTTTACTCTTTATATTACAAGTTGCACCAATGGTGGGATCTCAGATAATTTTTTAAAGTAGAATTAAAAGCACTATACTAGATTACAAAATATTTAATTAATTAATACAACTTTTTGATTTTAATTTTTGTTTCAAGTTGACAATTAATAATGCCTATGGTCCCTCCCTATCACTTTAACTTATCAATCAAAGAAAAAGAAAAGAAAAGAATGATGTAATCATCCATTTATACACAATCATCCAATTATAATAATATCAGAAAATTCAACATGAAACACTTCATATAAAGTTTTTGCTGAGAAATTAGCATGAATGTTATATGGATCTAAGGAGGAAAATTAGTGAATATATTTACCTGTTCCCAAGCATTTCATGAAGCTTAATGATATTTTCTTCTTCTTCATTTGTGAAATTTCCTCTCTTGATATCAGGTCTCAAATAGTTAATCCAACGAAGTCTACAACTCTTCCCACATCTTAACAAGCCTAAGAAAATTTATTAAAAAAAAACATCGTTATAAACATATGTTCAGACCTTATTGACAGAACATGATAGCGGTAACGTGGTATCAGATGACTAAATAAATCTTAAGTTTGAATGCTAACTAAGGGCTAGGGTAAGCTTTTCATTCAAATGTCTAAAAGTAGTAAGGATCTAGTGGAAGTACCTGCAAGTTTTGGGAGGGCACGCCAGTTTCCATGACCATGTTTTTGGATGTAAGAAATGAGGATTTGATCTTCTTCAAGAGACCAAGGACCTCTCTTCAATCCCATCTTTTCACAACAAGGAGCTCTTACCATGTTTGTATTGATGGTACAAGAATCAAGTGTATAGTCTCTCACTCTTCCTAGTAGTTAGAGGCTTGTAATTCTCTCTCTCCTCTTCAACTTCATTTCCTAAGACATATGCTTGCTATTTATCCTCGGATATTCCGCACGCCATGACTAAAATAGTCAAACACAACAAAAAAATAACACTTTTTCTATTCAAACTATTTAGCAGTTTCCGCGAAAGAGGAAGCTTTCTCTTTCAATATAGACATGCACTACAACAAAGAAAAAAAATTACTTAAACAATTTACTTAGATAAAAAAGTTTAGACAAGTTAAATTCAATGAATCATCGTAGTCTTAAATTTTAAGGTTTAAATGTATTGAGAAATATATTTTTAGATTGTCCACCACAAAATTATCGGAGTTGAATAATTGACAATTTTGTTTTGATTAGAGAGAGACTTGTGGACGTAGTATATAATTGGCCAAACCAATTGCAGACATTTTTTATATATGCGTCATCTTGAGTAAGTGTATTGCTAAAAGACGAGTAATATTTGTTATTATTAAGAAGAATATTTGAATACATGGAAAAAATAGTTGAGTTGTTTTTAAAAACTATCAGCAGACAAATCAATAGTTGTTTAAACAACAAATGGGGTCAATTGCATTTTTCTTATAATTGTAGCATCAATTAAGGGAATTATTATTATTATTTTTGTTAGAGACCATTGATACTTTCAGATGCTGAACGTTGTTTTAAGATTGATATTGATTTTATCGGATTAGAAAGGGATCAGTAACCAGCAACACGTCGTGAGTTTTTTAATTCATCGGTGGTGGAGAAGAGGAAGGGAATGTACCTGCAAAATATTCTGATGCCAAAGTAAATGACGGAGTAGAAAGAACAAGTACAAAGAAGGTGTAGAGAGAATAGAATATCTGACCCTCTAAGAGCATCTTTAGTAGTAGTAAACTAAATGGGTAAACTAAAATACTTTTTGTGGGCCCAAAGTGATTTGTAGGATTTAAAAAATTTATAGTTGATATGAGTAGTTTTTACTTTAATGGTGGTTGTCTATAAGAAACCAAAACTTGACCCCACATGGTATTAAATGATTAATAAAAATCTATTATTTATGTTAATTAATAATTAATAAAAATATATTATTTATGTTAAATAATGAGTTAGAGTACGTTGCTTGTGTACAGCACGTAAACTAGTTTTAGAGCATCCCATATGCCATGTCAGCACTACTATAATGCAATTTCCTTATTACTAACGTAAGCTATAAAGAATTTTGGTTTAACAACCCTGCACTAAAGTTGCTCTAATGAAAGAGGGTATTTATAATGTATCTCCAGCACTGGGCCAACAGTTACTTTGCATTGGGTTGAATTGCAAGGCCCAATACGAGTAACTGTCAGGGCTTACATGGCGTAGGAAAGACCAGCACGTGGTTTTCGCCTTGGGTCAACTGTCCAGTGATCTTTGGAAGTTGGGTAGTTGCCTGATGATGTGTCTCTCCGTGGTGGTGGTGGTGGTGGTGGTGGGGGGGGGGGGGGGGGCTGGGGGAGACCGTGGGGGAGATGTGTGGGAGCTTCCTGTGTGCGTTGGTGGAATGGGCCTTCATTGGGCCCCTCGACGAGAAATTAGGTTGGACTGTAACACCCTAATTTTTAATAATTAATTATTTATACTAATTAATTGATTTATGTGATTTATTTGATTTAAATGAATTATTTGATTTATTTAATTTATATGAGTTAATTGATTTAATCTAAATATGTGATTTATAGAATTAATTAAATTAATTGATTTATTCATTTGGTAGAATAGTGTATAATTGCTATATTGATTGGTTGGGCCTAATTAGAGGTGTGTGAATAGAAAGTGAGAGTGAGTGGGGTAAAGCCCACTAGAAATGGTTAAAGAGTTAGGGTTTTAGAGAAATGTTGGTAAAGAAAAGGAAAAATGAAAAATAGAATAGAGAACATAGAAGAGAAGAAGAGAAGGAGGCAAGAGGAAAAAGAAGAGTGAAAGAGAGAAAATCAGAATGCAAGCACCCAAGGAATCAAATATTCTTCTTCATAAGAAAAACCTAAGGTAAGGGTGGGTATTCTCTCATTATTAGGATTGTGGGTTAATGATTAATGGGTAGAAGTTGTGTAGGGAGAAACCCTAAAATTTGGAATTGTGGGTTAATGGTTAATGAGTAGAAATTTATGTAGGATAAAACCCATAGATTTCTCATGATTTAGTGAATTTTCGAGTTTTGTGAATGCCCTAATATGAGGGGATTGATTATGGTAGCAAAGGAGGGAATGGTTGATAAAAATACAATTTTCTGCATAATTTTTCAAAAACGCACAGTGAGCAATCGATTGCACTAAGGCTCAAATCGATTGCATACGGAGCAAAGCTGCTGGAAATTGAATTTTTAGCTGTCCAATCGATTGCACTAATATGTCAATCAATTGCAGAGTAAAACAGTAGGTAAAATGATGAAATTTTTAAAGGGTACAATCGATTGCACTAAGAGGTCAATCGGTTGCACTTAAAGACAGTAGCTAAAAATATGAGAAATTGGGTCATACAATCGATTGCACAATAACTCCAATCAATTGCATGCTGTGCAGAAGCTGAAATAAGTGAATTTTCCACATGACCAATCGATTGCACAATAACTCCAATCGATTGCACTAACTGAAACTTGGAAAAATCATGTACTGGAAGTTTGATTACACAAAGTCATTGATTAATTAAATCTTAACTAAAACATGGATTAATTGGAATGATTATTGATTATTTACTTGAGTATTGATTGATTATAAACCTTTGGTTAGTTATTGAGATATCAATTGTTGTTTAACAAGTTGATTGTGTATTGAATATTGAATTCATTTATTGGTGATGGATTGATTATTTGTGTAATCATTGAACTGTGTTTTGAATTGTGATTGAATCTAATTGATTCTTGTGCATTACTTGATAAATGTAATGATGAGGTGTGAAAGTATGAATACTTTGATTATTATGAAATATGATGTGTGTGTAATCGTGTTATAATTCTTGTGTGATGAATTATTTGAGAATGTATGGGATTAAGATGCGAGAACGATCTTAAGTGCATTTGGTTGTTGATTGCATACGCATCATTTGTGTCAAGAGGCAATGCTTGCTAGTTTCGTGGAGACTAGTGACTTGTCCCAAACCTAGAGTGGGGTTTGAAAGCCTAGGGAGCGGGCTTTTGTTTGTTATTGGTCTAGGGGACGGACCTGGTTTAAATGTAAAAACCGAAAAATAATAACAAGTGTTGGTACCACATGGCATGAGTTGCATTGAGTTGCATCGAGTTGCATGGCATATATGAAAGTATGCATATGTGTATGACTTGTTGAATTGGGAGTTGTGAATATAGGATTGTTATATGAAACTATACATATGTGTATGACTTGTTGAATTGGGATTTGTGAATATATGATTGTTATATGAAAGTATACATATGTGTATGACTTGTTGAATTGGGAGTTGTAAATATATGATTGTTATATGAAAGTATGCATATGTGTATGACTTGTTGAATTGGGAGTTGTGAATATATGATTGTTATATGAAAGTATGCATATGTGTATGACTTATGGAATTGGGAGTTGTGAATATATGATTGTTGTATGAAAGTATGTATATGTGTATGACTTATTAAATTGAGATTTGTGAATGTATGGTTGTTGAATGATATTGGCTGATGAAAATTGAAGTGTGAGAATATTGGTGTTTGTCCTGACATGCTTTACATTATTCATTATCTTATGATTTCAATATTGATGTGAATTATCACCCTTCTGCTGGAATGATGTCCTATCTGACATCGTGCAGGTATCAAGAGTAGAGCTGCTCGCAGTTGCGTGGTTGCTGTTGGTGTAGCTATTTAGTATTTTAGTTATGTTGGGTCGAGTCATGCTCTGGTCATGTAACACTGGGATCGTTTGGTTTATGTTTTAGAGATACTTTATGTACTTTACTCTATGTTTTTATATTTACCGAAATATTATGATGTTAGCCTTAGTGCCTAAGTAATGTTGAATTATGTGATGAACATGAATGTCCCCGTTAAGAGAATTATGATATAAAATGAATCCGCTGCTACATGCGAAGTGAAAATTTGAAAAGCATGATTATTTATTAAAGTGTTAATGAGCATGACAGGTGTTTTTGATGTTTTGGAAATTATGTGTGACACCCTTTTGTGAATGCATGACGATTTACTCTGATTATTTATATATATTCTGCGGGGTTTAGAAGGGTGTTACATGGGTCGTGCCCGACGGTGGGTCAGCCTCTGGTCCAGTCTATAACAGGAGCCCCCCAAGTCGCTGCTACGCAGCAGAGGAGTAATGACTTTAGAATCAATTCAAATGTTGAGGACCTGTCCCTGAAAAGCGTTGTGCGTGTTCGAAACACTGAATTTAGGGACAAAGTGCGTGGCCAGGTGTAGGAACTGCTCGACAAGACAGGAGCTCGCGGGGAGGCCTGTCTGTCAGACGTAGTCCTAACTATTTTCCTGTTTCCCCAGAGATATATCCCCGGTGGGTGATTTGTCCGACAATGTGACGAAAGAGGAAGGAAACAAGCAACTCTTGTCTCAAGTAGGAGAAAGAGTTGAAAGGACATGCACAATGTCTTCTAAGGCCATATGTCAAGAGCAATAAATGCATAGGGGGCTACGAGTATGGGCACTTAAGTGCCTAGTGATGTCTCGCTTCCCGTGCTAGGGTTATAAATAAGGGGGAGTCTGCTTCATTTGCACGCCCCACTTCATTTCGCTCAAGAATTTTCCCAAGTCTCTCAAAACTCTCTCTGCTCTCTGAAGAACGCCCACCGTCGCAGCCACCGTCAGCCTTTCTCCGTCGTCCAGAATCTCTATTCCTCAAGTAAGTCTCTGGTCTTTTCTTCAAATTTTATGAATTTTTTGGAAATTTATGCGTTTTTCGGTGGTTTCTCCGGGGACTTCATGAAGTTCCCGG